GTTGAAAGAAGAGGTAATTTGAGTGAATATCAAATAAGACCGTTACTGATTATATATTTTGAAAGGGAGTAACGTGAGAACTCCGATAACTTGCTTTTGACAGAACTCAAATATCTATATAATAAAACGTTTTTTCAGGTTGTTCAGTGGGTATTAACACCACTGTTTGCATCTTCTCTTTTGAAATAATCAATTTGTTTTGAAATCCTATAAGTCAATTCATTAATTTCTGTTCGTTTGATGGAAATATTATTTACTGGCCTGATCAAACCTATGACATTACGTCCCTAAAATGATAGAAACTGAAATATCCCAATGTCAAGGAAAAATACACGCTCATCATGCAAGGAGCTTGTATCCAAGGTTATTCTTTTGTGCTTCCTCTTTCCTTCTCTTTCTGGTGGCGTCCTTGACGGCTTTTAGGTGCCGGTTTATGCACCTTTTTTTGCTTTTTTTTCTTTTCTCTCTCTATGATTTTCAATACAACTATAAAAGCTTCTATTGCTGTATTTTTTCTTTTTTAACGATTCCCTTGATGAGGCCAGTATGTTACTGGAATTATTAACGGAGTTCTTTAACGCGTCTGCTAAACATTAATACAATGACTACCATGACTTAATTTCTACACGGACAAAAATCCTAAATTACTGCACGTTCCAAACTGTAATTGTTAAGCCTAACATCTTTATTTTAATTAATTTTCTGTTTACACTTTTACGTATTTCGCCAAATTGCTTACGTATTACACACTACAATTTATTGAATTGTCATTCGTTTTTGATCTTTTACTGACTAATTTTTCAAGTAAAAATCGACTTTTCTGGAATAATTTTCCCACTCGCACACTAAAGTAGTGTGTTGTCTGTCTGTCAGTCAGTAAACAATTAAATGACGTCATATAAGGAACGCTTAACGTTGCAGTTTGTACTGTTGTGACGTCATTAAAACGTGTGCATGCAATGAATCAGGAGAAGAATTAAGCACTCTGTAGGCTAAACACATGACATAAGAACATCAAAAGCAAGAAATTAAAATATTTGTTACTCTTTATTTTGGTTTTATGTACTCTTGAAACAGAATACTTTCAAGACCCTACGGAAGTACATCTAGTAATATATATATCATCTTTGAAGAAATGTCCACTGGTGAGGCAGCGGTAAGCCTACGGACTAACAACGCTAAAATCCGGGGTTCGATTTCCTGCGGTAGAAACAGCAAATAGCCCAATGTTACTTTGCACTGAAAAACAAATTAAAGAAATATCCTAAACATTTCAAGCAAATGCTAACATTATGAAACCACCATGCCTATGACTGTATTTAAAGTCAAGATCTACGTGAGATAGGTCTATCATGCGTAGACATCCACATTAAATAGCCATCATCATGCTCAGCATAAGATATGTTATGCTGCTACCAAACATGTTGAAAATTATATAAATTACGACTCACACAAATGTTATTCCTATAAAGACTAACATTATAACAAAGCGATTTATAAAAACAAAAAAGGTGTTACTTTTTGCTGTTTCTTCCAGCGCAGAGTCACACAATGGACTCGTGCAGCGTCAGCCACGAACGCTCCATCTTCGAAGGTCACGAAAAGAACACATATACGTCTACCCCTTACCTGTCCCTCGTTTTCTAAGTCTAACAGCTTAAGACTGGTTTGTGGTTGTCAAAACTGTATTTATGTAAACTTAGAAATAATTACATGAATACTCGTTTTGAAAATCCTGCAGTAGTGTATAAATTATTTCGTTTCATTTCAGCATCAAACAAAATGTGTGACTTAAACGTACACATTTCATAAAACTTGAGAAGTCTACAAGATACAGTACACTCGGTTATGTAAATATTAGACGAATCATCATTAGGCAAAACAACTACTGTTCTAATTCTTGATTTTCGTGTAACACATCACTGTAGTACAGTGGTTCTTAACCTTTTTTGCTCCATGCCCCACCTCGACACCTTAAAAAATTTGATGCCCCCCTTAATATAAAAACAAATTTGGTGTTGAAAAGGTATAATAATATAATGTAAAACTTTTCTTATTGTGGCTTTTTCAAATTTCCCCCTGTGGGGCGTG